TAACAAATTAAACATTAACAGATTTTAAACATTTATAAAATATTTCTTACTCGTACTTTTATTGTATATTTCGATACTTTCTTCTTCTTCTTGAAATAGTTTCTGCATGATTTTACGATGAATTTTTTTTTAATTTTCTCATCTAATATCTGACACATTTGAACGTAATCGAACCTGTAATATTCGCTTTATTCGAGAAAATTCTTTCCTTGTTGAAAAAGAGCAGCGTAAAATTATAGTTTATTCGAATGTTCAATAATTTATTTATTTAAAATTTTTCTCATCTAACATCCAAGACTCACGCGTGTTCGAATATGATCGAATCTGTAATAATTCTGTTATTCGAGAAAAGTTTTTCCTTGAAAAAAGCAGAGACAAAGCGAAAAGATGCGTTTCTTCTAGAATCTTCTACTTAACTGTATATTTATAAAACGTACTTTTTTTGTTTATTTCAAAGGGAGAAGGAGATGCGATATAAGTAGGTAATGTTGTACCGCTACACTGCTTCACTCGAGTATCGACATTCGAAGCGTCTACTTCGAAAATATTCCTCCGAGTTTTCGTTTGTTAAAAGTGGACATTTGTTCAAAATTCTCTCATTTTCCTTTTTTTCGATGGGGATTATTCCTCCGTTTTCGAGTCTGCTTGCGTATTTCCAGTACTGTTTTCTTTAGGAAAATTTTCATTTTCCTTATACATCACCAATATAGCTTTCGCTCCGTAGGCAGAGGTGAAGTTGATAATACGGCTGAACAACAAGAAGCTGCGAATCCCGCTAAACTAGAAAATATTCGCAAGATATTCAAGAACTCTGTGCAAAATGTGGAACAAAATTTGCTGCTTTCTACGACGTACCCTCTCAATACCTCTCATACGAAGAAATTACACGTGGGATTACAATTATCTAAGGAAAGGATCTTCGAGTCTGTTGTTAAATTGGATGGTAATTCTACAGAAGGAATCAGCTTTGATCCGGACACATGGCACCAATTTCAAGATAGTATTCGGTACATGAGCGCATACTTTAACGGAAACAGCAAAAGCAAAGTAAATCCCATCACATTTGCAAACATATTTATCAACTTCACCTCTGCTTACGGAGCGAAAGCTGTATTGGTGATGTATAAGAAAAATGAAAATTTTCCTAAAGAAAACAGTACTGGAAATACGCAAGCAGACTCGAAAACGAAGGAACAACCCCCGTCGAAAAAAAGGAAAACCCCAAATAAGAAGGGAGGCGTGCGTCACGATGGGGCCCGACCACGAACCAGTCGTGAAAACTCGTAATTATTTTGCGAAAAAATATCACCTCAGCCAGGAATCGAACCTGGATCTCCTGCTTACCGGGCAGGCATCTTATTCTTTCGACCGAGGCATGTGATGATATTTATCGCAAATAATAATAATTAGAATAACACGTCAACAATACAATGATACATATATATACATATATTACAATATACATGTATATATATACATGTATTCTTTCGAATCCCCACGACCGGTACTCCAAAGAGATGATGGTCCTATTCTCTCGATGGATGCAGGTCGGACTGCAGCGGCGACACCCTCCAACGCCATTGACAAATATACAAATAATCCTCCTGGAGCACGACAGGAGAGATTGCATCAAGCATGGCTCGAGCCCCCGGAAAACTTCCGTCGCAGTTGTAATGCAACAAGTTACTTTTCAAGGAATGGAGAATATCGTCAAATGTGTCGATGCTCGTATAAACCAGCTAGCATCCGTCATCGATTGTTACTGTTAACGAGTGCGCACGTTATTTGATCAAGGAGATAGAACTATGTCTATCTAACAATTATGATGCTGATATCATCAAATTCACTGTCTCGAGGCAACCAAAAGGATATCGAACTTGCTGTGAGAATGCAAATAAATAATTTACCATTTTTGGATACATATTTTGATATTGTATTTTTAGAATTAATTACATTATTATAAAATTTAAAGAAATTACTACTATAATTTTATTGAATCGTGAGTTATAATTTTTATAAATTAATAACCGAATCGTGTATTTAATTTTCTAACAAGAAGAATAATTCTGTAACAAAACATATTCATATATATGCGAAAAATAAATTCAACTTATACTTGATAACATAAATTCAAATTTATGTCGTTTCTTTATCTCTCCCTTTATTCTAAATTTTTCACAACTCATTCAATTTTTCACTCCTCTTTTTT